TTTTATATTATTAATATATCATATATTATATAATATATTATATAATATAATATATATATATATATAATAATGTATATATATATAATTCAGGTATTAGTGGCAAAATAGTAATTTCTGTGAGTTTATGGCAAAAAATGGAGAAAAAGCCGCACCACACGCGCGTGAAGTGCACTTCCGTCAAGTTTGACGGTTTAGGGGATAACGCGCAATTAAAAGTATAATACAAGGGGGTTTGACGCAATTTTTAAAATACAGGGGGATAACGTGCAGATTTCGTATAATACAAGAGGGTTTGGCGCAATTTACCCTATAATTAAATTATAAATTTTAAGTTTAATTAACAAATATTTGTTCAAATATTTTTCTAATTTTTGAGAGAAATACACACCAATTTTCATATCTTATGGCAAGTTATTATGGGAATATTTTAAAACAGTAAAGCTTGAGAATCATATCACCTTGATTTTATAACAAATCAACTTAAACTTCGACTTTCATACTTGTACTAAATAAAATTCATACCACTTATTTTATTTTCAAAATTCAAATACACTTCTCTTCATACCAAATGAAATTTATACTATTTAAGTTCGGACATTTTATAACAAAATAAAATCACCCTTTTTTTATTCATCATAATACTCAACTATTGCTTTATTCAAAGATTTATTGTCATATAATATGTATTAAGATAATTTTTTAAATTAACCACTAAATTTTATTATATGCAAATATTTTGATATTTTTTACAAAGTAAATTTTATACTCTTACATCTTACGCAACACGGAATTCTATTTACGCTACGTAGTATAACAACTAAAACTCGACGAATTACTTTTTAAATATTTTAAAACCAGAAATTCTATGGTGCCACATGTGGCACGTGTTATGGTGCCACAACATGATGTGGCACATTATGATTAGTGTCACAACATGATGTGTGATAGTTGTGGTACCAATTATAATGTGCCACATCATATTGTGGCACCATAGAATTTCTGTTTTAAAACACTAAAAGATATACAATCAATATAAAATGGCGTTTATGCGAGATTACATTTTTTAAGGGGAAACCCGTGCGTCAGACATGGCTTAAAATTTCAAATATTGATTTGGTAAAAAATTAAGCAAATTATTTATTTTTGTAAACAAAAACAAATAAATTTTATAAATTCTCAATAAATTTTTAAAATCGTTTCCTTTTTATTTATCATATTACTATATAATAAAATCAAAATATTTTGAAATTCGAAATTAAAGCTATATTGGCGGTTTTTTTCTGATTATTATTTTTTTCAAAAAGATTACCACATTTATAGATATGATGTATAATAAATTCAAAATATCATGGGCATGTGTTTCCTGTATGAAATGATGTACCAGAATTTTAATTCTAATATCAATTGTGACGTTTATGGAAGAAAAGACATACCACAAAAAATATGTACATACATTGATTTCTAAGTCAATTGGTTTTTTGTTTTTTTTTCAAATAATCGGAAAAAAAAAAAGATAAAATGGAGAAGGTAAAAATCTGATTTCATTTTTTCTTTTTGTTAAAAAATCAAACTACAACCTAAAACAATTAGTCACCCAGACAGCATTTAATGTTGTCCTATTTTAGAAAAATAAAAATAAAAAGTTACTAAAAATAGTAGGTAATTAATGTTGGCCAATATTTGACCTACTATTTTAGAAAAATGGTAATTCTTTTGATATAGATATAGATTTTATATACAACAAATATATTGTAGGTTGTAAGTAAAATGTTGACTCCACTATGAAGCCAGTTATTGGATCCATAGCAAAACAGATATACTGTGATGGGAGTTTGAATTATCTCTCTATGGAAATATGGGCTTGTTATGGGATATTTAATTATGACTAAATTACACAAATGCCTACAATATCGTTTTTTAACTTTCTTTAATGCCAAGTCAATTTTGAATTATAATTTTATTGCAACACAAGATTTTTATTTTCACATATGTCAATTAGTTATCTCGTAA